TAAGCACAGGTGGACTTGTGCTTACTTACTACTCTGTAATAACAATCGCATGCTTTTCACCACAGGTGCTGGCTTGACGGCTACTGGCTTAGGATACAAACATACTTTACAATCATCAATATTATCATCTTGGACACAGGATATTATACCTGGAAGGAATTTATAAATCAGGTTCAAGTCGCTTGTTGGATATATGAAGAGGCTTCAAAAAAAAGTTTGTGGGAAAAGTTCCACTCTCTTTAAATTCCATTTTCCCTCAACCTTTTTGAACCCCCTTGAATGTCCGTATTCTTTCTGGTGGGCTCAGAGGGACGGGTGATTTGATTAGAGCACGAATGAAATTCAACCCTTGAGTTCCTCTTGGGGCTGCAGTTCTTCACTTGTCTTCCATGTAATGTTATTTTATTTTTATTTTTAAAACTTTCCTTTCAGTGTCACGAAAAGGTCCATAGAATCTGGTGTTCTTAATCAATGAGGGTATCCCAATAACGGGACCTCTTTTCTCAAGTGGCTGTTGCTTCATCAATGAGGATGGCGATTCACATAAAGCAGTCTATTTACCTTTAATGAAAACCCAGTGACCCTCCAAGAGGCCAGTCAAGAGACCTCGCTCCATGAACTAGAAAATCCCTAGCATTCTCCCTTTACAAATTTTAGATACTGATATCACCAATATATAATCTAATATTAGAACCCTAGAGCCACCACTTACCCCATCACTGACTCACGGTAAGATCTTGGGCAAGTCACTTGACCTTCTTATATTTCAGTGTGTCAAAGTGGCCATCAAACGGAGTCAAGCATGACCTCATTACAGATCCAATAGACCTGAAAGCTAAGAGGTGCTTTCATACATGAAAGAATTACCAAAAGAGAACGCTGGCTGGTAAAATATAAAGGATCAGAGTAATGAATTTGACTATAACAAGAGAAATCATTGTCCTTTAAACATACCCCACCCATTTTCAGCAAGTCACTGTACGTTCACTGTATTTTGCTTGAGAAATAAGGAACAGCGGGAAGAACATTAGTTCTTCAGGATCAAAATAATTATAAAGAATTGACCATTAGGAAGCTCGTGAATCCTTAATAATTCAACACATTTCATTTCAAGGCCATTATTTCCTTCCACTTATACAATGCATGCCAGGTTTTAAAAAATGTGTTTAACTAACTACTGTTGGAAAGGCCTGATAGAAGGATCTAAATTCCCTCAGGAACAAAACTGCTTTAATGATGTGCCTGGCCCGTTAGACCCGCAGCTCACTAGATTATTACATATTCTTTAAATTGATTTTTTATGAGTCCTCTGCCCGTTATTTGCAACTCTCCCATTAATATGTACACTGTCCTCCCACTCACGTGTCCCCCCTGCCCCCCTCCTGAGCACAGGATGATGCGTATTACTATTGGGGGCAGATTTGTGAAGTGAATTATGTCCTTCTCACTTGCAAAGATAAGGCAGCCCTATTCTCTAGCTTGGGGCTGCAGCGTGTTAAAAACAAACAAAGCAAAGCACTGGCGGGCAGGTTTGCTCTTCTGCAGCTTTGCAGAAAGAACTTCAGAAAGGAGAGCAGCCCCCAGACGCTGCCACGCTGCCTGGGTGCTATCCCGAGAAGTCCTGCAGCACGTGCAACGTGCCTCCACGTTTTATATTCTTTGAAAACATCCTTCTACAGACTTCCTGCAAAGCCAGAAACAAACAACTAAACAGAGGCCTTCCCAGCAGGGTGTCAATCAAACACGTTGCCACATTCCCTGAAAGAGTAAGCAGATGATACATAACTTGCGCGGTTGCCCGGGCCTGTAAACAAAAGATCAAATTCTGTGTTCTGCCTTGGCAAGGAGAGAAACTGCAGCATTTTGTCACCTTTTTTTCCCTTTTCTTTTTCTTCTTCAAATTAAAAAGAAAAACTCCCAAACCCAAGCTCAGGGCTTTAAGTGAATGACAGAATTTTTGTTTTCTATTTTACAGAAAAATGGAAACCTTCCGTCAATGTAAAGTTACTATTGTTTTTTAAAGTATAGAATCAAGATTGTAGGTTAAAATGCAGTCTAGCCTCAAAGTATAGGCAATCTGTTGTGTGCCCCAGCTGTAATCTATGGGATTCTGTTTAGTTTTAAACCTCACCTTTGTTTCTGTGGGTTTCTAAATAAAGATTCCGATCTCTCTCAAGACCAGGAAAAATTATTTTTAAGCACATGTTTTAAGGTCTATAGAAGCAGCACAGGTAGTTAATTTCTGTAAGCCTGGTGCCTGAACGAATAGTATTTTCCATAGGAAAAAAAGACGAGAACAGGGGTGGTGAGGAGGAGATATGATGCAGGCATACAACAAAATATTCCGTGAAAACCATTAAAATCAGGCTGGCAGAGCATACGTAATGAGTGCGGCACGGACTTAGCAATTGAGTACGTATAATTTGCACACGTGCTGCTTCAAATTTGTAAAAGAAAAACGTCCGACCCATTTCTTCCACGGGGAAACCTGTAGCTCAGCCTCGCCCCCTCCAGCCCCGGGCAGCAGAAAGTGTGTGGTCAGTTCCTCCGCCTGCACCTCCCCACCG